TCCTGGCTTTATACATAAACACTGCAGTCTTATATCCCACTAAATCAAAAAATTTTAACAATTTAGACTGTATGAAAGCTCCATTGGTGTGATCCTTATACCCCATCTTATGCACAATGATCTCACATTGGTCAGTCCAGAAGCAGCTTGGAAACATTAAATGTAAGTAACTATGCATGTTGCTTAAAGTCGGGATAAAGTGAAAATGTGTGTTCTGAGTTTGTCACACCACATGAAGCTGTGTTATTAACCACTCAGACAAATTTGAATGATTAAAAAGATTGCCAAATGTATAAATCAACTTTCAAAATCATGAAAAATTAAGAAGCATTCTCTGCTCTAAAACATTGGCAACGTGTCAGCTGAAGACAGAGGAGATGGGTTGAGGACTGTAGTTGAAAAAATTTAGGAGCTTTTTTTTTTATTACTGGTGAAAAGATTAAAGTTCAGCTATGGATAGATTACTGGACAGGCTGGGCAGGCTGGGCACAGGCCCACGGACCTGAGAGGTCAGCGGGGCCTTGGCCAAAGGACTATATAGACACAGAGAAGAGATGCACAATGACCACAAAAAAGAGAGAAAATGACAAGACACACAAAACAACCACAAAAATCTTTGTACACATTGTCATCTGCTGACCTTTCATTTTTAAAATACATGTATTTTTCACTGAATAAATCCTTGCTATGTTTTCCCCACTGTGAGTTTTTCATATGTTTAATGACTCATAAAGAGCATGGGTTTTCAACCAGTGGTCAGTGGCCCACTTGTGGTCTGAGAAGGCATTGCAGATGGTCCCTGACCATGCATTCAACAATGTAATTTCACTGTAGAATTAAAAAAAAATCTAATTTCATGTATTACTCATTGTTTGTAAAAAATCAAATCCATATAAATATATAAAATTTAATAATTTAGACTTTCAGGATTAAAATAGTGCCCATTTGGTCCATCTACCCCACAGTGGCCCTTAGGTTACTTCTTAGCCAGAATGGTGGTCCCTGATTCACAATTAGATGAAAAACCCCAATAAAGAGTATTAGCACATAGGTCTGCTGAGTTGGCAACTGATCAAATTAAGGGATAGTTAATTAAGAGAAATGACTGCATGAGTACAGGAGAGCTACAATTAAACCAGTCTGGTGTGACTCAGTGCTAAATCAATAACTGAATCAGAGTGTCAATAAATAATACCCAGTGGTGCCTTTGGTTTTTGGGAAATGATGGAGCAAATGTTTGTCTTGATTTCACAACAGCTGTGTTTACTGATAAAACATGTGACCTTGCATGTACACATGCTGGAAAATCCTGGATCAAAAAAAAAAAGAAGAAACTATGACCTACTTAAGGCCAGGACACAAAATGAACAGGTACTGAGTTTCATTAAAAGTTCGAGGTCCTTCAGGTAAAGGGGTCAAGTAGTGAAAGCAGGAACCTGAGATCTTTTCTTTTCTCTTTCACTGGTTTTAATATTTTAACTGTACTATCAGTTTTAGTATAGTGAGTATATACAGTAAGTATATTTAATTAAAAGTACTGTGTTTATTTCTACATTAGTTCAGCTGATTGAAACTGACTTTCTCTGGTAGTAATGTCTAATGCAATGATAACATTTTCACAGTTTTGAGTAACAGATTATTTATCTCTTTTTATTTGCCATAGGTTAATAAGTATCAGGATAGTTTGTCCACTCCCACTCTGTGAACACTATCGTCTTTGAAATAAATTCACTCCTCCTTCAGAATCCTCTCATTTGTACATTGCTCCCCAGTGTAAGGTTCAACATGAGACTTTCCGTAGAGTGGAGCTGGTTTGTTGCTCTTTCATGCCTCCTCTGCATGGGTAAGCTTTTTTTTATTAAAAGAAGAAAAAAACACATACTATATACTTAATATGTAATTTCAGATTAGCAAATTTTCCTGAAGAAACAGGACTCCATATTAACTGTAAGTCAAGCTGAAGTTATATATTTTTTAAAACAGTTGCTGCTGAAAGCAGCTATAAACAGTAATGAATATTGGTGGCATTTTGTCTCTAGACATAATGTTAACTTTGTGAGTGTAGTTGTTATGAAGGACTGGGAACCAACTGTGTAATGTTTTATGTGGCTCTTTGCTTTCTGAAATGTGCATACTTTCTAAAATCTGCACAAAATCTTTATGCCCCAGACTTGTATTTTCCTTTCAGGAGGTGAAGTTCAGTGTGCTTGCTCAGACGAGGATATAAAACGTGAAGGTGTTGAGTACACACTGACCAGGCAGCTGGAGAAAGGCAGCATGTTGGTCTACAACTGTCCTGAGGGTTTCTATCCATTCCCCGCTTTGACCCGCATGTGCCAAGCTAATGGCAGCTGGAGACCAGCACCCAGAAGGTTTTCACCTCAGAAGTGCAAGCGTGAGTGATGCGATGATGATGTTTCTCATTTCGTCTCAGGCTGCCTGCTCGACAGGAAAACTCTGATCTTTCTGTTTCATTTTGCAGCGGTTGAATGTCCAGACCCCACTGTGCTGGAGAATGGAAATGTCTCCCCTCCTCAGGAGAAGTACTTTGTGGGCAATGAGACCATGTATGAGTGCTACTCTGGATACACAATGCGAGGCTCAAACCAACGTGTTTGCCTAAAAAATGGGAAGTGGAGCGGCTCCACTCCAGTCTGTAGCCGTGATTGTAAGCCCTGAACAGCAACGTGCTTTCTTTCTCCTCCTTTCAGGTTTCAGGTTTGAGCTCTATCCTCATTCATGACTGTTTTATGACTAATCTTGTGCCCTTTTTGTTACCACAGCAGAAAATGCATGCCCTGATCCTGGAATCCCAGCTGGTGCCTCCAGAACAGGGAACATTTTTGGAATTGATGACAAAGTGAAGTACACCTGCAATGGCAACTTGTTTTTGGTGGGATCGAGTGAAAGGGTGTGCAAGGAGGGCGGCCAGTGGACCGGCCAAGAGCCGGCATGCTACTGTAAGACAGACACCTACTTATGCTCTTGACATTCTGTCATTTGATATAAGTTTAGTCGTGAAAAAAATCTGCTAGTGGAAACACTGCTCATCGTTATATTCACCTGCAAAAGTTGAATTATGCCGCAACATTCAGACATTTCATGATGTCAGCTTGTGCTCTAGGAAACTGTGATTTCATTGTTTTTTGACTGTCAACAAAATAATTGATTAATCCAGAAAGCTGTGAAACTAATCAAGAATAAACACAATTATTTGACACACTTGTGTCATAACCAAATTTAATAGTGTACCAAGGTACTGACATGAAGCAACTTTCATGGTATATTGCTATCATTATATGACATTTTTGCCTTAAATGTGATTAATTGCTTATCAAGCTTGTTGTCAGTTAATTTTCTTTCACACTGAGCAGCTAAGAACCACTAGCCAGGTAATTAGCCTACTGCTTAAGTTGCCATGTATACTGTTTGAAGGTCAAATAGCTTAATACTTTAACCTCCCTGCCTTTTTCCCTTTTTGCTCTTGCAGACAGACACACATATGACACAATACAGGAGGTTTCCGAGTCATTTGGCAGTGCAATCAGAAACAGCCTCACCACTTTAGAGTCCACTGGTAAGTTCAAGGAATAGGATTACTTGCATAATTCAGTAGCCGTGCTATATGATAACATTTGCATGTTGGGAGGCACATGATATTTTGATAAATTTAATACTAACAAATGATGGCTTAATAATTTATAGGACTTTTTTTTAGTTCACTCCAGCAAAACACACTTCTCTGAATAATGACACATTATTCTGGGCTTGAATCAATCCAGACAACTCTACCTTGTCTTCTGTTGTACTCCTTACTCAATAGAAAACATCTTATATAAATATGGTATGTATGTGTGCTGTGTATGGTACAATAACAGTATTTCTTATGGATTGCTCAGATGACATACAGGGGGAAAAGAGAATCAGGCTTTCCAAAAATGGGACACTAAACATCTATATTGCTGTGGATGTTTCTGAGAGTATAGAAGCGATATACTTCTTGGATGCAAAAAAAGCTGTCATTGCACTTATAGAAAAGGTAAGACACAAACAGCTTTTCTCTTGATTGAACTAGCAGGAAAACAGCAGCCAATATGATGCTGAAATGACAGTACATGTTAAAAGTTTTACATTGTGCAGGAATGGATATGGCACAACTGCTTCTTTCTCAAAATATGCTGTGCAAGGACTAGTTGGGATTGTTTTACTGATTGTGGGCTCAGAAGCACAGGGGTGAGGGATGCTGGCAATATATTTGCTGAGTTGTTAAAACATGTTAGAAATGTAGCACATAGGGTGACTAGCCTGGATATTTAATCAATATGGGGAAAAAGAGACTTGTCAGAGTTTTTATTGAAGCCATTGATCTATTGCTGGTAGGTCAGAACTATCATGATGAGAAACTTTAAATTAGGAGGATTTTGTCTCCATAAAAACTGTGGTGCACTTAATTTGTGTAAAATTTTTAAATAAAATGAGAATGAAAAAAACTTTATTTTAAAATAAAAACATGGTTTTGTTTTATTTTATATATTGTGAATGAAAACTGCTGGAATGAAATCAACACAATCAAACGATTTACAGTAAACAATATTTTGATTTGATTTTGATTTGATTTATTCTTTCAAACATGTAACGACAGTCAATATGTCAACACACATAATTCCACACATATCCACAAATACATTATCAATTTGCTTATACCTAGTACATGCTTGAATGGAGTAGGAAGAAGTTAGACTTATCTAGTCCTACCCCATGACATCATCTTACCATCATTGGTTTGCAAGCAGTATTACTACATAGAAAATTATGTTCTACACCACACTAGTGATATACTAAAAAATATTACAGACTGTTAACATTCTTACATAATTACGTACTTATATGCTTTGTCTAAGTCTTCCTCTCTGTAAACTGCTTCCCAGTCCTGCCCCCCTAAGTCCTCTTTTAGCCTCCTTAATGCTTGTTCAGTAATCACTCTCCTGTAGAACAGATTTGTTTTTGGCCTCTCTTTTCTATACTGGCCCTCATAAACCACAAATACTGGTAGATGATCACTAATATCATTTATAAGTAATCCACTTGTCATTTTGCTGTCAATAACATTGGTAAGTATATTATCTATTAGTGTTGCATGCTGGGTTGTTACTCTACTTGGTTTTGTAATTTTTGGATATAGACTACATCTATATATTGTGTTAATAAACTCCTCAGTTCCTGTGTGCTTGTTAGGA